GATTTCTGTACTGTCCTACCTGATGATATTTTGCAATTATGTAACTTCAGGGCTCTTTGTAGTCATCTGGAGTTGAAATTCTTGAACTATATTTATGCTATGTGAGTTAAGGTTTGAACACTGAAATTTTGCTTTGGTTGATTTAGAATTGTAGGCTATGATGAAAACTGGCAATTAACTCTGTCATCCTAGTGTCGATGTGGGAGTCTCTCAGATCTGTCTTCAAAATGGGAGTTGATTCATGTTTTGTCTTTCTAATCACTAAAAATAAGAGCATGTGTTTGTTTTTTCTTGCACTGGATTAGGTGCCAATAGTAGAAATAATACTGCGTGATTTCCTTTGGTGTAGATATGCTTTATGTGAACTTTGGAAGCTATGTGAACAGTCAAGATAAATTATATAAGCGTTTAAGATTGAGTTATCGATATGGCTGTATTGTGGTTTTACCATTCCCTTTTTCAGGCTCACTCGCATTCTTAAAACACTATGAAGATCCCCCATTTTGCCTTACGTCAAGTCACTCACAGACCCTTTTCACCACAGATGTTGCCATTCCCACTGGCAGCTACTAGATGGGGTTCAGAAGCAAATTCCAAATAGAGACACTTCTAAACTCTTACAAAATTTGGACTAGAGACGTCTCATCATTGAACACAGTCATATTTGAACAGTGAACAAGTGACAGGAAATGTCTTGGTCTTCACAAAAAAGAAACGGTTATATGAAAGACCTCAGCTTCTCCTTTCCAAGTCCTTTTTCATAGACACTCTTTGCCTTTGTTTTCCCAACTGATCATCTCAGCGGTGTTTCTGTTTTGACATGTTGCAGCTGAAGATCAGATAGTCTTGCTCTTTTATTTGTATTTTTGGGCATCATCTGTGCTGTCTGCCTATATTGATGTATGAAAGTCCTGATAGCCTAAATTATCACATTTAGTAGAATGTACATCTACATCTTTTATAAAAACATGTTTTTTAAAACTTGCTGTTTTCTTTTGGACTTCCACTCCACTGACAATGTCACAAATTTAACAGTGTAGAAGTAAGTAGGTCTATGTAAAATAAGACTTCAAAATAAGCTTTTTTTTTTTTTTTTTTCTTTTCGGGGGTTAAAAAGATGTGGCAGTGGTTAGTAGAAAAGCACAGAACCAATTTAAAAGAAAAATAGGTCAATATGCGGACCATGGTGTGGTGGGTTCACCTTGGCCAACAGCCAGACACCCACCCAGCCGCTCGCTCACTCCCCCTCATCAGCACAGGAGAGAAAATACGTTGTCACGGCTCAGCTGTCGAGGTAAACTCGGGGACACTGCTCATCAAGTACCATCATGGGCAAAGCAGACTTGGCTGGGGGAGAATTAATTTAATTTGCTGCCAATTAAAATACATTTGTGTAGTGAGAAACCAAGGCAAATTAAAACAACATGTTCCCTCCATCCTCTCCCCCTTCTTCCCAGGCTCAGCTTCAGTTCTTCATTCCTGAGTCATCTACCTCCCTCCTCACCCCGAGCCGCGCAGGGGGATGGGGATGGGGGATTCCAGTCAGTCTATAGCCCCTGCGCTGCTCCTTCCTCCTCACACTTTTCCCCTACTCCAGCGTGGGTCCTGCCCATGGTCTGCAGTGCAGAATCTTTATTTATTTGGATGTCCATGTGTTCTTGCTTTGAGCTTTATTATTTAATCTCTTTGTAAAAGAACCTGAAGTCAAACAATAGATAAGATATCAAATTAAGCCATTTAACAGTGGGAAGTTGTGCTATTGTCAGCAAAACAGTAACAATTTGAATATGCCAGAGTTGCCTTTTTCTACCTGTTTTGAATTATAAAAACATTAGTGCATTAGACTTTCTGCCTAGTTTTGCTTTGCTTTGTTCTTTTAATATTTCTTGCAAATTAACAATGGAAATGTAGCCAAACAATTCTCTAAAGATCACTCATCTCATTTTAAAGTTAAATAAAATATTTACTGTAGAAATCTTTTACATGTGAATATTTACATGTAGCTTGTTCTTTTTTTTTTTTTTTAAAAAAAAAACCACATCTCATCAGAAATTGATTTGGGTCCTTTCATTATGGATTTTTCACCAAAAATGATTTTAGTCATGGTGTTTGCTTTTCTGAATGAAAATTAAATTGACCTATTAGCATTACATCTTTGGATAGATACTTCCAGGAGGTGGTGTTTGTTGATGAGACTGGCGATCACGACCCTCTTACCACCAGCTTATTCCCTTAATGCAAATAAGAGTTATTCCCTAAAGAGTAAAGCTTATTCCAAATAAGAATTAAACTTTAATTCTGTAAAACTGTGACCATAATTACTGCAGCAGGTGGAAATAAGAACGGCCTGGTGGTTTTGTCTCAGTTAAAGAGCTGAGTCCTGTGGCATACAGGGTGATGTGCTCGGACGAGCCCTAAAATAGCTGGCTGGAGCTCTGGCTGCGGGGCTGTGGAAGCCAAGCTGCCACCATGTCCTGGGGAAAAAAGAAAGTTGCATCAGTGCTCAGGGCCAGCGCTGCCTGCCGTTGCTGTGTGTGACACTGGTGGCAGCGCATCTTGGTGCAGAGATCCAGTTCCCCAAAGAGATGGGACACAAGTGGCTTTAGCCATGGCATAGGTTACCCAAATTACTTGGGGACATAGCTGCAGAGACTGCACTGACAAGTGAAACTGTCTCAACTGGGTACTTTGGGTTCAAAAGAGGCGTTCCCTGTAATCATCTGTCAAACCACCCATATTTCTCCATGAAACTCTTTCTCCTTGGCTCCTGGAACAGCACTGATGAAAAGTTAGGTGTTGTCTTATTAAGGTTTTTACCATTTGCTTCTGCCCTTCCTGCCTGTCTGCACCTGTGGTTGT